CGTGCAACTCAACTTGCAGTCAAGCTGCATGTGCGTGCGTGAGTCAAGCTGTGTGTGTGTGTGTGATGGACCGCCACTTGCGCGGCCCAGTGACTTTCTCCCCCCACTTCAGCCGGGCCACCAAGCCGCAAAGTTGGGGACCGACCAGGGGTGAAATGCTCCCGGTTCGGACTGGATCGCCCGATCTGGTAGCAATGGCGATGGGCGGTTCGGAGAACTGGAAGCAAAAATCCCTGCGCCCCCCCCCCACCATGCCCAGCTGAGCCGCACGATCATCAGAGGCTTTTTTTCCCCCCTATTTTTAAAAGCATTTTTTCTACAATCTCTTCTGACAAAAAAAAAAATGCTTTTAAAAGTAAAAAAGAAAAAGCCTCTGATGTTCGTGCGGCTCAGCTGGGATCGTCAGAGGCTTTTCAAAGCATTTTTTTCTGCAACCTCTTGGCCGAAGAGGTGGTAAAACAAATACTTTGAAAAGTCTCTGACGATCCCAGCTGAGTTGCCTGATTGAGAGAGAGGCATTTTTTAAAGAGCCTCTCTGACGATCCCAGTTGAGTTGCCTGATCAGCAGAGGCTTTTCAAAGCATTAGAAAAAATGCTTTGAAAAGTTTTTTTTAAAAAAAGTTGGCCACACCCACCCAGTCACATTACCCCACCACCACCAAGCCGCGCCCACAGAACCGGTAGTAACAAATTTTACATTTCACCCCTGGGACCGACGACCTAAGGTAGGTGTGTGTGTGTGTGTGTGTGTGTGTGTGTGTGTGTGTGTGTGTGTGATCTTGGGTTGGTGTTGATTCCTGGCTGGACAAGTCCCTGCAGTTTCCTTGGCAAGGTTTTTGGCTTGCCATTGCCTCCTTCCTAGGGCTGAGAGAGTGTGATTGGCCTAACGTGATCCACCTGGGCTTGGGCCTAAAGCAGGATTAGAACTCACAGTCTTCCAGTTTCTAGCCTGAGGCCTTCCTCACAATACCAAACTGGTGTAGGCGATCCCTCAAAATCCTGGATAAAAACTCGACAGCGCTTCCAAAAGCGTCATCCAAGTACAGGTAGTCCTCAATTTACGACCCCAGTTGAGCCCAGAATTTATGTTAAGTGAGAAATTTGTTAAGCGAGTTTCATCCCATTTTACAACTTGCCTTGGCGCATTTGTGAAGTGAATCGCAAGCAGTCGTTAAATTTGTAATGACGTAAAGTGAATCTGTCTTCCCCGCTGATTTTGCTTGTCAGGAGGTCGCAAAAGATGACCCGGGACACTGCAACCGTCATAAATAGGAACCAATTGTCAAACATCTGACTGTAAACCCCGTGACCATGGGGATTGCTGCGACGGTCATAAGTGTGAAACATTTCATCATAAGTCACTTTTTTTCCAGTGCCGTTGTAACTTTGAACGGTCCCTAAACGACTATTGTACCATTTTTAATGTGGCAATAAGGGGAAATGGTTAAACGCATGCAGAAAAATTCTAATAGCTAGTTAATTGGATTAAATTAAAAAAAACAATGAAATATAGCCTTTTTTTTACCCTTTTTTTTTTTTTTTACAAAACCAGCACATCAAAGGCCAAAACAACTCTTCCTCTCGAAAGCAGAAACTCTGCATTTGTAGGTTAAGCAGACAAATAGTTGGACTATTTCCTCCGTCCCAAACCAATAAAGACTTTGATCCATACAAATTCCGTAGTGCAGGTTTAATTGTGTCCTATTCCACCCCACCTAAAATTGTGTTGTTTTACTATGTCCTACTTTGCTACTCACAAAATCATTTCGCCAGCCATTCAAACGAGGGGAAAGATAACCATTTAAAAACGGTTTACATCCAAACAATTAAAACCAAGGATTAACCTAAAATGGGAAATAAACTATCATTTTCCTATTGAGGCACCCACAGTGACAGTCACAAGTTTCTTGACAATCTTGGCAATCAAAGCCCACTCCCATCCTTTGTGCATTGTATGCCTTTAATTGATTTTTATCCTGCACTTATTGCTTTCTAAGTAACTCAAGGTGGTGAACATGCTTAATATTCCTTCCTACTATTTTCTCACCAACAACAATCCTCTGAGATGGGTTGGGTTGAGAGTCCAAAGTCACTCAACCAGCTTTTATGCCTAAGGACGGGATTAGAACTCACAGTCCACCGGAGATTCACCTAGTACGGATGTCAGCAACCTGCGGCTCTGGAGCCGCATGCGGCTCTCTGGGCCCTCTGCTGTGGCTCCTTGTCGGGTGATACCACCACTGGCTGGCCCCGCCCCTCGCCCTCCCCTCCCAGTCACTCCTCGCCTGGCCTGAAAAGGTAAGGGCGACCGGGGGGGATGGAGAAGCGGCTGGGGCAGAGGCAGAGAGAGGGAGAGAGAGAAGGGAGGGAAGAGGGGGGGAGGGAGAGATGTCAAAAGGGTTTTGTGGTTCCCAGTATTTTTTAACAACCGGTTCTCTGACCTAATGATCGGCTGGGTAGGCGTGGCTAGGGGGGGTCATGTGATTGGTGGCAGTGAGTGACGTCAACTTGGCCATGCCCACCCAAGTTTTGTGGCTCCCGGTGTTTTCTTTTCTGTGGGAAACAAGTCCAAATGGTTCTTCAAGTGTTTAAGGTTGCAGACCCCTGACCTAGTATCACCCACCCAGCTGTCATGCCTAAAGTGGGACTAGAACTCACAGTCTCCTGGTGATTGGCCCAAAGTCACCCAGATCACTTTCATGTCTAAAGTGGAACTAGAACTCACGGTCTCCTGGTTTCTAAGCCAGCACCTTTACCGTTGCGCCAAACTGGCTGTGCATTGCCTGCGCATAAAAAGGGATGGAGTGTTGATGACGCATTCATGCTCACCATTCTGAAGCCAGTAACTATGGCATAGATCGATGTTGTTCTTCCCACGTAGCCTTCAGCAGCCTCCTGTAATGGAAGACAATCTAGAAAGCAGTTTATATGACGGCATGGAAGTTCCCTTGAATACATCCTATTGTGTAAATGGTCATAAATAGCGTTGAGCTCATTGCATGATCTCTGCTGCCTATGTTTTCCTCTCGTTTTTCTTTCTGTGGCCCTGCCAGGACAAAACCCCCCAATCAATATAAACACAGTTGTACTGTGTAATTGGCTCGCGATGCATTGCAAAGATGATGGAACCAGATTGAAAAGGAAATCAGGTGTTGCAAGATGGCGAATATTGACAGAGAAGAGCAGCATAAAACCATGCCATGCCAGAGATGCAGGATGAAATAATGTTGCGTCTAGGTTGTGACTTTTAAATGCACCCAGGTGTTCTGCCCCAGCTATGGACCCCAAAGAACGCAGCACACACAAAGTCCGTTCAAACCTTAGTTTACTAAATTAAATCAGTCTTTTACAACAATGGCTGTTAATTAACTGCATTAACAGCCGCCAAGAATTCAAAGAATAATAACTGAAAGCTTTCTGTGGTTGGCAGAATGCCCAGAAGCAATTTGCAGGAACCTGATAAGATAAGCAAGACCGAGACACGAAGGTATGTGAATGAAGTTGTTCCCTGCAAATTGCCTCAGTCGGTGTTCTTCCTTAAATAGGCTAAGGGAGTGGTGAATTAGCCCCAAGCCTTACTCTCGAGGAGACCTCCTCCTGAAGAACCACTCCTGCCTTTTGGCAGCTCTGCGCGCCCGTGCATCGAGAAGAGGCTCGTCCTCTTCACTTAAGGGAGCTTCTGGAGGTTCTGAAGGCCCTGGCTGAATCCCCACCTCTGGCACCACATCTTCTCCAGCCTCCCCATTGTCTGACTCGAGTGCCAGCTGCACAGGCTGCTGGCGTAGCACACCAGCCTCCTCGCTGTCTGAATCAGCTACTAGCTGCACAGGCCGCATAAGGGCCACAACACCAGGTGAGTGAGTTACTGCTCATATTCCATCTAAGTAAAGGTAGTTCCCAACTTACAACAGTTCATTTAGTGACCATGCAAAATTACATCAAAAAATTGCAAAGTGACTTATAACCATTTTTACAACTGTTACAGCATCCCCCATGGCCACATGATTAGAATTTGGATGCTTGGCAACTGGCTTGTATTTATGACGGTTGCAGAATCACAGAGTCATGTGGTCACTTTTTGCCACCTTCTGACCAGCAATGTCAGTGGGAGAGCCAGATTTGCTTAACAACTGTGTTACTAACCTAACAACTGCGGTGAACAACTATGGCAAGAAAGGTCATACAATGGAGAGAAATTCACTTAACAAATGTCTCGCTTAGCAACATAAATTTTGGGCCCAGTTGTGGTCGTAAATTAAGGATCACCTGAAATGCTCCCGGTTCAGACCGGATCACCTGATCCGGTAGCGATGGAGGCGGGTGGTTCAGAGACCCAGTAGCAAAAATCCCTGCCCCCCCCCCCATGCCCAGCTGAGCCGCACAATCATCAGAGGTTTTTTTAAAAAAAATTTAAAAGCATTTTTTCTACAACCTCTTCGGCCGAAAAAACGCTTTTAAAAGTTAAAAAAAAAATCCTCTGATGATCGTGCAGCTCAGCTGGGATCATCAAAGACTTTTAAAAGCATTTTTTCTACAATCTCTTCAGAGGTTGTAGAAAAAATGCTTTTAAAAGCCTCTGATGATCCCAGCTGAGTTGCCTGATCGGCAGAGGCTTTTTTTTCTTTTAAAAGCCTCTGACGATCCAAACTGAGTTGCCTGATCGTCAGAGGCATTTAAAAGAAAAAAAGCCTCTGCCAATTAGGCAACTCAGCTGGGATCGTCAGAGCCTTTTGAAAGCATTTTTTTTACAACCTCTTTGCCAAAGAGGTTGTAGAAAAAATGGTTTTAAAAGTTAAAAAAAAATGGCCAAGCCCACCCAGTCACATTACCCCACCACCACCAAGCCATGCCCACAGAACCGGTAGTAACAAATTTTAGATTTCACCACTGACCTGAACACATTGCAAAATTTGCAACCCTGAAGAGGAAATGTATGATTAAAATGCTACCATATCACATGATGGGGTGTGGAATGTTTAAATGAGGGAAAACAACATAGAGCCATCTTAGCAGCTTTTAATTCCTGTTTAAAATTACAACAAAATAGGTTTGAAAGCCAAAGTCGAGAGCTGGGGATCATCTCTTCAAAGAAAAAAACGCAGAAATTATCTAATAACATTTTTTTAACACAAGATAACATACTAAGATAAGGTTATCCATGTACTATCTGGATTAACATGTCCAAGCCTTAAGAAAAATAATTTTCCATATTCAGAAGAAAAAAAAAGACTCCATACTCAGAATTTGTATTTCTTTATATACCTGCTCTATTTCGGGTTGGTAATCCTGACAGATTTTTCTTTTTGTAGCGTGCAGGAAAAAAATCATCACAACTATTATTCCAAAACCATTTTTGTAGATTTCCAACAGACTTGTATTCCGGATGTTTCTTGACATAGTCACAAGCCGAACATAAGTGTGATTTCCAGAAATTAGGACGGTAGACCAAAAAATCTTTCTTCCACTCAAAGTAACTTAGGTACAGCGTATCATTTTGGTCGAGCATCAGAAGGTACTCTGAGAGATTCTTAGGTGACTCAAAATCGTCCACGTGGATGAAAGACTCAGGTAGGACGAAATCTTCATAATTTTCTCTGGGAGGACCCAGCACCACAGGTACAGTTCCAGCCAAAAACGTGGTGTAAATCTTCTCAGTAATATAATCTTTAAAGATAGAATTTTCAAAAGCCAGATAAAACTTGCAAGAAGACATGATGGGCCAGTATTTTTCCCAGCTCAGACGGCGCCCAAACAATTTCCCATAAGTATGAATTTTAATATATTTCTTTAATTCCTTGTAATATCGAATTCTCTCCTGGGGATACCGGTTGCTGACTACCCAACATACGAGTTTGTCTTTCGGGGGCACTTCTGCCCGAGAGGCGTTTGGGCTAAAGGTGAGCATGCCGTAAGGTATGTGGATATCTGCATCCCGGCGGTAATTGAGGGTTAGGTTGAACATGCGGTTCAATCCAAGCTTGGGGGGTGAGTGGCTGGGTGACTCCATGTTCATCCAGATCCACTTCTGAAACAAAGGCCTGGGTTGCTGAGGGAGGTTTCTGAGATTCCACCAAATGTCTCGGTGGTGAAAGACGACCGCGTGGGACTGATTGTACATGCTCCGATTCATGGTGATGTGGCAGTCAGAGATGTTTAGGTCCAGACAATTTAACGGGCTCGATCTGCACCCAAAAGGACTCAGCCAGAGCAGAACGAGAGTGACGTTGCTTTCGTTATTTTGAAATTCATCCTGATTGAAGGACACATTTTGCTTTGATGTAGAATTATCCTGGCTTAGTTTGAGGTAAAACCAAAGCTGAGTAGGTTTGATGTAGACCAGCAGACAGGCCCCAAAGCAGACCAGCACCAGGAAGAAAGCCAGGCCGGACCAGAAAACTTTGGATGGTATGCTCATGGCGCAACCTGAACCCCAAAATCACTTCGAAGTACTTCAATAATCCCCAAAAGATGACCCAAGGCTGGATGGAGAAGGATGACCAACCGCCTTGGCCAGCTAGCAGATGTCCAGTTATTTCTGTTCCTCCAGGAACAGCAGGAGGAAAAAAGGGGCGGAGCCACTGAGGCAGAGGGCCTTCCCTCTCCTATTGAACTCTTCCTGCAAAGGAAGGCCATGCCCCTTCCTGACTGGAATTAGTCAGGCCATTGAGAAGGCCTCTTGGCAACATGGAGGCCTGCAGTTTAAAAATCCAGAAAAATATACATTCCTATAAATATTTATACATACATATGACCTATTTGCCTTCAGTCCACCTCTGGCTCCATAGGTATATATGGAATCACAAGAGGATTCGAGGCAAACAGGTAAACCTTTAAAAAATAAAATAATAATGAATAAATAGACAAATTTATCGATGGGCCCAGTCCTCTCTCTTCCCAAAAGCCTGGATCTGGAGCACCACTGACTTTTCAGATGGCCTATAGCAGAGTTTTTCAACCCTAGTAGCTTGAAGATGCGTGGACTTCAACTCCCAGAATTCATAGCTGACTGGGGAATTCTGGGAGTTGAAGTCCACGCATCTTCAAGCTGCCAAGGGCTGAGAAATACTGGCCTAAGGGTAGCTGTGTACAAATAGGGGTGTTAGATGGAAGTTATTGGGTGGACTGCAAGGAAGGCTTGGATGGGATAAAGTGATGAGGGTGTGGTCCTTCTAGGGGAGGCAAATAGCTGGGGAAGGGGCTGGGGGCAAGGTGGAGGAGAAGGAAGGCAGAGGGAAGATATCCAGGAAGAAGGACCCTCAAAGCAGGGCAGATTTTTGAAAATGCATGGGGATAGGTGTGTGTGTGTGTGTGTGTGTGTCAGCATAAAATGTGAGTAACAGCATACAAAGCACAACCACCTAGCTGGCCTGGTGTTCTTCAGCTGTGAAGAAGCTTCTTGGATAAGAAGTGCAAAGAAAAAAACAAACAAACCAGAAAGTCCAGTTGCTTTTTGAAAAAGCATCTTTGGGACTACCTATATAATTGATTTGACTGGATGAAACTGGTTGTCCTGTATCCGTTCAGAGGCTATTCTGGCCAGCTGATCCCCAAAATACAAAACAGATGAAGACGGCTCTTGGGGCAAATGTCGGACACATTTCTTAATTCCCACAATACTGTCAAACTATTTACTAAGACTGTATTACTATTATTCTTCTCGTCCTTCCTATTACCTATTTCCTCCTACTTATGACTATAATCTTGTTGCTTGTAGCTCTACGGTTTATATTGTTTTAATTAGTTTCCTAGTATGATTTGATTGCTTATTTACTATCCTATGACAATCACTAAGTGTTGTATCTTACTATTTGTGATGAATGTATGCACCGAAGACAAATTCCTTGTGTGTCCAATCACACTTGGCCAATAAAGAATTCTCTTCTCTTCTCTTCTCTTCTCTTCTCTTCTCTTCTCTTCTCTTCTCTTCTCTTCTTCTGTTTTAAAATTTTATTCAACATTTACATCTTAAAATCTTAGTTATACTTTTACAGCTTTCCAATACTGGCATTTTTAGTAATATCCAATTTATCTTTCAGCCAATATACATACACATTTTGTTTGTTACATATTTATTCATATAATCAATACATTTTATATACAATACATACCTACTACACATTAAATATAACATTCCATTATAATATCTTCTCTTTTGCTATACATTAATTTTAGATTCCTTTTCCAGCCAATCATACCATCTGTTCCATGTTTCATAATAAATCGTTTCTATTCTATTCTATTCTATTCTATTCTATTCTATTCTATTCTATTCTATTCTATTCTATTCTATTCTATTCTATT